GTGTGTGTGTGTGTGTGTGTGTGTGTGTGTGTGTGTGTATATATATATATATATATATATATATATCACACACTTACATTGCTTAAATAGAGCCCTTACCACATTCTTGCCAAGAATCTGTCCAGTTTCCAAAAAGAGGCATTTGTTTAGTAACATTATATATCTTACATTACTTAAAAGTCTAACAGGTAAAAACATTTCTCTCTAGTGAATTCCATTTGTTTCTAACAAGACCAATAATGGAAGTATTTGAAATCAAATACAGAGAGCAAACTTCTATCAATCAAGATCATAAAAAAACAGAAAACAACTTACAGGGAATGAAAGTAAGATGAAGAGTCAGAAGATTATACACGAGTTTTCAGCCAAATACTCCTTCTAATACTCTAGTGTTGTAGTCGGAGCACAAAATTTAACAATTAGCAAAAAACTCATAAAACATTCAGGATTTCCAAAAGATCTAGTTATTCTGACTCCCACCACAAGATGGCAGCAATATATTTTTTTACTTACAATCAAGACAAATAGAAGTGTGTAGTGCAACCAAAACAACCTACTGTAAGATACACAGTGTGTTATTAACAGGAGTGATAGTTTAGCAATTTTTCACCTTCTGTATCTCAGATTGTGGTAATCCAAGCTATCACATATTTTCAATGGATGTGTTCTACTGGACTCTTACTTCACATACTAAATTTACAAGCATTCCATTAAGAAATACACAAGATATAAAATTTCCACTTTTGTTTGAAGTTCTTCCTTTTTGTTTTCTTTCCCTCTAAAGTACCAAAAATTTATTTGATAGACAAATGTACTTAATTTTTATGGATTTTTTCAAATTTGGTACAGTGATAGATCTTTACAACCTACAACTAAGTGTCAAATTGGATTTAAATATAAGCACATGTGCAAAGTTATTCAATAGAAAAAACACAAATTTGACTGAGATTTTTGTACACACTTATGCAAAAAGTCATGTGAGCTACTGCAGCTTCACCTAAGAGTAAAATTGGACCATTTTATTTTTTGTCATTAGGATTAATAATGGCTGATATAGAGCAGCAAAACTACAGGGTGAAAGGACATTCAGATACACAAGTATTAGTTTGGCCAAGCAAACTAGATTAGCAGTTTTGAGCTCATGTTTTCAAAAGAATCAAACGAGTGGATGGTTATTATTCATTATTCATTGCTAATTTTTATATATAAATTTGCTAAATTTTATGAAATTTTCCTAATTAAAGAGTATTTAGCATCACGTGATATTAGCTTCAACAATTAGTGTAAATAATGTTGCTTGATATGGCTGTACCGATTACATGGGGGTATGAGAAGAAACTGTTAATATAAATTCCATGGCATTACTGTAAAGGAAGGTTTTAACACTGTTTTAGAGAGGAAAAACTACCATTATATATTCTGTTCCAAATAATAGGGTTGTAATCCTAAAGCTAATGTAGGTTACTATCAAGTGTCACTTTCTTACTTACTGTGGTTTGTTGGTGTGTATTGACAAAAAGTCATGGTATCTATTCAAAAAACACCTTGTGTGAAAAAAAAAAGATGTGGCCAAAAAAGGATTGAGTGTACAATTTAAAGGAATGAAATCAAAATTGGCAGCCAAATTTTATTTTACCCACCATAATGCCCCAAATTGAACAAAAAAACACAGCCTGGCTAACTAATGAATGAATACTAGCTGTAAAAGTCTTATCAATGCTATAAGTGTAGTTATCAATTTGGCTGCCAATTTTTATTTCATTCCTTTAAGACGCACACTCAATCCTTTTCTCTTGGCCGTACCTTTTTTTTCACACCTAAGGTGTTTTTGATTAGATTTTCTATACACAAAGTCATTCATTGTAGAAGTCATGAAAGAGGAAAGTCTGACATGAGTTATATTCTGTTCATGTCTGACCAAGACTCATTCTCACAAACATGATTCATTCTTCCAGTTAGAATTCCCACGTAGTAAAATGTTCTTTCCACTTAACATATTATAGTTAAAAGTGTTAGTCATGATTCATTATCAACTATTAACATAAACAAAAGAAATAAAACAAAAATGGTCTTTTCAGAAAAGGATGAAGTTAGTGTTCATGAAATATGATTTGTTTTATAGCATAATTAGCACAAAGTTAGTTAACATAACAATAAGGATTAATAATATCATTCTACTCATAAGATGGAGGTTTAACTTTTAACAGCTGGTCTCAGATAGATATGTTTTTGTTAAATGTCAGTTGACTTGTGTACAGTATTTTAATTTTTCTGCATTATTTGTATGGAAACTATTT